TTTAAAAATTTGTTTTATATAGGTTGTGATCTTGTATTTGGTACACATATATATTCATGATTGTTATCCATTTCTTGTCATTGTTTTCTTTTAACAAATATGTAGTGACCTTGTTTATTTGTTTTGATCAGTGTTGGTTTGAAGTTCACATTGTGAATAGAATATGTACCCCTGCTTTTTTCTGGGTTCCTGTCACACAGAGTATTGTTTTCTGTCCTTTGTCTTTCAGTCTGCAAGTATCCTTTTGAGTTAAGTATGTTTCTTTTTTTTTTTTTTGGTTTTTCTCCTGTACCGGGAACCGAACTCACGACCTTGCGTTTGCCAGGCAGGAGCTTTTGCCACTGAGCTAAATCCCCAGCCCCTTAAGTATGTTTCTTAATGCAGTATATTCTTGGACCTTGTTTCTTGGTCAACTCTGCCAGTCCATGTCTTTTGATTGGTAAATTGAGACCATTTACATTGATGGTTATAATTGATATGTATTGACTAGTATTTGGCATATATTTTCCTGTTGATGGTTCCCTGTCTTTTCCCTCTGTTTAATTGCTTCCTCTGTGTTATAGTTTGTGTCTAGGTGTCCCCCCAAAGTCTTATGTGGTCATGGGGCAGGCTTTTAGAGTTTGATTGATTATGGGTGTGAGAGCTACCCCCGCCCTGGAGTGGATAATTTGCATATGTTAGGGAGAGCAAGAGGCTGCTTGCAGCCATTCCTGGCTTTTGTGCTTGTTGCTTTGCTGTGTTCTGCCGCCATGAGCTGTAGCCCTCTGCCATGTGCCACTCTGCCTTGTAACCTGCCACGTATGGACTAAAACCTCCACAAACTGTAAGCAAAATAAATCTTTCCTTCCTTAATTTTGGGCATCAGGTATTTTTGTCCCAGCAATGAGAAAAAAGTAACCAAGATACTCTGCCTGGTGGCTTCTTTCTATTGGTAATCTTGGAATTGTGGGCTTTGTGTTCTCTTTCTAGAATAGCTTTCAGAGCTCTTTGTAGGGCTGGTTTAGTTGTCATGAATTTTTTCACTTGTTCTTTTTCATGGAGGTATTTTATTTCTCCATTAATTTGGGAAGATAATTTTGCAATATACTTCAATCTGGGTTGGAAGTTGTTTTCTTTCAGAACTAAAATATTTCAAGCTATTTTTGACTGTTTATATTGAGAAGTCTGCTATTATTTGGCTGAACTTTACCTTTATAGGTGATTTATTTCTTTTCTCTAACAGCTTTTTTTGGTATTGGGAATTGAACTTAGGACCTTGGGCTTGCCAGGCAGGTGCTAGTGCCACTGAGTTATATCCCTGGGCCACTGTCTAATTTTTAATATTCTATTCTTGTGCTGAATTTCTGGAATCCTGACTATTGTATGCCTTGGTGTAGATTTATTTTGGTCCTGACCAACTGGAATTCTGTATACTTCATTAATTTGTCTGTCAAATTCTTTTTCCATGCTTGGGAAGTTTTCTGCTATTACTTCTGTGAACAGGTTTTTTATGTCATTGTTACTCTTTCCTGCATTTTCATTGACTCCAGTCATTCTTGTATTGTTCTTTTTTGTATCATCTTGCAGTTGCTGGATTTTTTCATGGCCCCTTGCTATATTTAAGAGATTTTTCTTTTCCTGATCACTAACCATAATCCTGTTGGCTAGGTCTGATATTTTATTTTCACTTTCTTTCATTTGGTTTTGCAAACTTTCAATGGAATTTTATATTTTCTGGATATTTATTTGAATCTGTTTCATGGATTCCAATTCTTTCCTAAGTTTGGCATTCATGGTTTCTATTATTTTTGTATCCTCCTCCACTTTTAAAATCCATGTCTACTCTAGATTTGCTGAGCAAGTCCTTCATTAGGGTCATCAACTGGCTTTTGACAGCAGCTGGAATGGAGTCTGGGTCCCAGCTCCTACTTCTCAGCTGAGTTTCCCTCAGTCTGCTATCCAGCTGCTGGCTGTCTACTGTGACTGGCCGGCCATTCCCTCATTCCACTCCTGGGTTCTGGCACTGAGGTGACGCTGGGGCTGTTCTGCTGCTGGATGCTCAAGCCTGAGCCCTTTCATACAAAGTGGCAGTCCTGTCCACCGGCTCCTCCTCCTCCACACAACTGTTGAGCATGGCACTCACTTCACTGACCAATCAGTAGGGCAGGCTGCTTGGGAAAGTGTCTCATGTTCTCATTGTTGCCTTTAACTGCACAAGGCTCTCCCAGTCCAAGTCAGGTCTCATTCTCCCAGTGAGGAGCAGCACTGCTTTCACTGACTCCCCACCCACTTGGTCAGACACACAGCTGCTCTAGCTGCACAGCACATTTTCAGGTCTGCAGCAGCGAGCTATTTCTCCTATAGCAATGAATCCTAATTTCTTCTTTTCATCTGTCAGTTCCCTCATGGTTCTTGTGTGTCCTAGATTATCTTTGATTTCTCTCCAGGCCGTAGTTTCCAAACTCTCAACACCTTGTTCTGGAGAAGCTGAGCAGCTGACACCCAGCATGCCACCATTTTGGATTCCCTGAATGTCTTGAACTCTTTCAGGAAGATATCTACAAGAGGAGAGCTGGGTCAAATAGAATTTCTCATTTTAGTTTTTGAGGATTTACAAACTGATTTCCACAATGGTTGTACTAGTTTACATTCCCAGCATTGTACAAGGGTTCCTTTTTCCTTGCAGCCTTGCCAGTGTTTGTTCTTATTTGATTTTGTGATGTTAGCCATTCTTTCTAGAATGAGACAAAAATCTCAATGTTGTTTCAATTTGCAGTTCTTTAATGGCCAGAGATGTTGAATTTTTTTTCCATGTGCTTAGTGGCTATTTATGCTTCTCCTGAGAAGGATCTGCTCATTTCAATTGCCCCTCCTTTGATTGGGTCTTTTATTCCTGGGGGGGGGTTTAAGTTTTTTAATTCTTTGCTTATTCTAAACAGTAGGGGACCTTCAGGGGACCTTCTTAGACACACACCCTTGTCATTCTTTTTTTTTTATTTTTATAAAACAAAGAACAGTGTCTGTCAGATAAAAGCAGAGGGATGTACTAAGCAAAGAAAGGAAGAAGTGGATAGATCCAGTTGGAAATGATGATAGAAAATATTAATCAGGGCCCAGACAGAATCAACTTACAAACTCATGGTGTTGATGGATACTGGTGGTTGGTGGGTGGGTTTACTGGGTGGGGAGCTGTGGACACAGTAATAGAATGTCTGACAGTGGGAACTGGAGTTGAGGGAAAGAGATCAGATGGATAAATGCCTGCTCAGATGGATTCAGCGTGCAAAGAAAGGGCATCTGAGATAAAGGAAACCCTACACAGATCAGGAGCAAGGTCTACAAGGGAATGAAGGGGCAGTGAGAGAGATGCAGGATCCTTGGTTCTACTCCTTATAAAGGTAAATATTCTTAGAGCAGCATGCAGCTCTTTTTTCCTTTCATGAAAGGATAATTTTTTTCCCCTCAAATCCAAGGTCTAGATGGGCATTTTGGAGGTATGGGGGAAGGAGTTGAAGACCTGGAGGAGGCTGGAGCTGGGAACTACACCACGGGTCCAAATATGAGAATCACTGTGGGAGATGTGGTGCTGCCTCTGTGAAGGCGGCGGAATAGTTACCTGCAGTAGAGGGAAGTCAGCCAAAAGACTCACGTCAACCTCTTCAACAAGGTAGAGAAGTTCAACCAGGAGAATGTCCACCCTGCTCAGCTTGTTGCCAACAAGGTAGTCTTGCCCGTGGCTCTTTAACACTTGCAAAATTTGAGAAGTCTGACTGTGAACACAGGCATGGTCAGACTGGGACCTCAGCTTTTCCCTGGGTCTTTCATCCCAACTCTTCCCTGCTACTGCCTCCCTGAAGGGTGTGGAGCTCCAGGAGTTTCTCAGGGCCCTGACTCATGAGCGAGCGTGAGAAGTGGGTGCTGCTTCTCTGCTACATTCCAGGCATCCCCTTCATTCTCATGCCCTTACCGCCCCCCACTTCTCCACATTTTGCACGTGTGCTAAGGGCTCGGCTCCTGCGGCACCATATCTCCACCTGCTTACAATATGAGAAGAGCAGCCCTGAATCTTTGCAGTGCTCAACTCCCTTCTGTTCTCTTGTACTGTCTACCTTGGGCAGCAGCTCCACCCTTGCAGCAGCACCCTTAACACGTGTGCAGACCATGCTAGTGCTGGTTAGCACCTAGGGTTCTCATCTCTACTCTCATTTCCCAGTTAATCTCTTTGTGACCTGAGATAAACCTGAGTTAACTTAAATTCACTATGTCCTTTGCAAGATGGGTTCTGAGTCCTTCCTTAGAGCAGTATAATCTTCATGGAAGTTCCCTAGCAGTGAATAGTGCTGATATCTGTAAGCTTGCAGTGCATGGGAAGTTGTTTGTTTAACTGATGGAGAGGTGGAGACATGGACACATGACAGAGGCAGCATATCTGAATGAGGACTATGCTGTCATTCAACATGTATTTCTGCTTTTGTGGATGTATGAAATTTATATAGTAAACTTGTAGCAAGGCATGTGATTATTTCTTTAAGTATCTCAGCAGTATGGAAATTAGATCAAATAAAAAGCAAAAATATACATGACATCAACTTCTAATGAGAAAAACTCTTAAAAGTGTCAGTAAAGACCCTTGGTATGAAAACAGAATACAAATTCAAAAGCCTTATTGTAATATACATAACTCAGTTTTTGCATGGAACACTTAGATATAATAGTCTACATGATTTAAGCTGCCAGAGAACTTTTCATCATGTGATGTGTCCTAATCCACAAGTTCCACAGCAGTGTGTTTGATTGTTTTCAAAATCCTCATTTTTTTTTTTTTTGGTTGGGCAAAAAAACAATGAATGGACTTTCATTGAAGATAAAGCTTAATGCTTCATGAAATGAATTTTGTAGCTTAGTTCTCTCATTCATTTGTATGATTCTATGTCCCGTATAAACTTTTTTTTGGTTCTTTATTTTGAATTAGCTTAAGTTCAAGTGGTTTTTTCTTGAAATATTCTTGCTTTACCTTCACAAAAAAATCTTAACTAAGGTTAAGAAATCATAACTAAATGATGGGTTAGTTTGGATGGCTTTCCTCTCAAGATTGAGAGCCACACCCTCAAATCCTGTAGGAGTTTTTCTTATCATCTTTTTACAGCGTCTTCTCTCGATCTCTTTACCACGATCTTTGTTTAGAGCCTCCACATTCATTCCAAAGCACCACAATATTCTCTGACTGGCATCTCCTCCCATGTCTGTCTACACCGGGTCAGAACATTTTGTGCCAGGCTGTTCTCATCAGGTTGCTCTGGGAACAAGTGCAGTGCCTTCTGCAGGATCCACACAACTGAAAGTGTGGCCCAGAGTCCTCCACACATCAAGTTCTCCTTGTGAACATGACACCCGTCCGGTAGTAAATTTGGGATTGAGCAACAAGAAGTTGAACTTTGGCTCCAAAATTATGCCTTTGGTATAACTATATAAGGCTCCCTGCGTATTCATGCCTAGATGCCTCCCCGAGCCGCACTGTTTTGGTGCTGGTGTTATGAGGACTCACTGGAAAGTCAAGGCTCTGGGAGCGCCTGCCTTTCTTCAGACCTGAACTCAGTGCCCCAAACTCTGATCAGACTCACTTACTTTTTCAAAGACAGGGAAGTAACGATTCTTTGTTCTGTCTCTAATCAGAGCCGTCTTGCTATCTATTTGATCTGGAGGAGTTCGTGGCAGACGTGAGACTATTTCATACAAGTCTAGGATGCCTTCTGTATACATATCAATCCTGAAAGCCAAACACATGCAGTCAAATATTTCCTTTCTTAGACTTCATGGTTTAAAATCTAAATAAATAAGAGCCTTAGGTGGTTACAAAGTAATTCACCTCCCGTGGGTACTTTTCATATGGTAATCATTACACTGTAAGTTTTACTTATGTTTTAATATTTACTTCTTACGAAAATCCGGATTCACAGTGAGGAGCAACCTTTGTGGGATCACTACATGGAACGAGCAGAACTGCAAACTGTATCTGCAGGCTCTGTGTGATTATCCGTGCGCAGTGTTTTCTTTTTCACTTGTGCCTAGAAAATAAGCAGATGACCTCTGCTTTCTTTTTCATCTCTGTTCCTTTCAATCCTGTTACACAGAGGCTCCTTGTCATGTTCGTGTTGGAAGTTCTGCCAATTATTTCCCCTAAAACATATTTCCACAATCTTTTAAATATGTTTTCCAACACTGGCCTTATTTCCAGCTTTAACAGTTCTGCTTAAAATAGCCCCTTTATGGGTGTGTTTTTAAGTTCAGTTACAACTGGCTCATTCCATAAGAGACCTTTCTGTCATTTCAAGCTGGACTTTCTACAAGTATTTTGAAATTTATTTGACAGCGTTATTGTCACATATTCACACACCTAGCTTTCAGTCCTTGAAAATATAATACTTATGTTTTTTAGACTTATGTTTCATAGACTTATGTAAACATTAGCATTCACGATTCAGAACATTTTTATTAACCAACTCTCAAAAAATGTAAACATTAGCATTCATGATTCAGAACATTTTTATTAACCAACTCTCAAAAAATTTTGTCTACTTTGGCAATCACTCCCCAACTCCCTGTAATTCCAGGCTGGGCACCCACTAATATTTTCTGAGTCTCTATGAATTTTAATGTTATGAACATTTCATGGAAAATCATGGAATATGTGGCCTTTTGTTTCTTCTTTCCTTTCTAAATACAATATTATATATTCAACATTTATCCCTGTTACATAGTACATCACCACTTCATCTCTTTTCCTGACCATTGTATGCCTCTAGTATATTTTTTTCCTTCTATTCATCCACTCTTGGATCTTTTGGTTGTTTCTACCTTTGAAAATTTTGAATAATGCTACTAAGTATATTTCTAAATAACTAACATATATTTCCTTTTTCCATGGGTGTATACCCAGCAGAGGAATTGCTGGATAACTCTGTTTTGAACTTTCTGAGGAACTGTCCACAATTTCATACAGGACTCCTTTTTCAATCAATCAGCTCCATGCCAACAGGAAGCATACCCCCAGACCCCTGGCCTTGGTTTTAAAGAGTCACTCTGGCTGTTTTAACACAGCATGAAATGCTTTAAGTAGCTCCGGTATCATGAGCACCACTAATATTCATCAAGCTGACCTGTCCATAGAATAAGCAAGTACAGTAGGTCCAAGTCATCATTTTAATAGTTTCTGAAACTTGAAATTTAGGTCCTTTGGATTCTCCCACACCAAAACTTCTCTTTCTTGTCCTCAAACTCTGTGTCACTTGTCCCAAGCTTTTGACCATAGTCCAAATTATAGAGTACTGGGCACCTGGTGTCACGATTTCATCATCCTCATGATTTCATGTTTCACTGGCGTTTGAAAGGTCTAATACTGTACTGTGCTGAGATGTCATCCTCTGATCTAATCGTAGTCATCTGAGTGCACCCAACTATACTCTTTCCTCACCTCCTAGAACTTTACTATTGTTGCCTCACTGTGTATGTCTGGGCCTATCTTGTGGCTTGTTTGTGTTTTCTGAGGCAAGATCTCACTGTATAACTCAGACTGTTCTTGAACTCGCTATGTAACCTAGTTTGACCTGAAAATCAAAGTGATCCTCCTGCCTCTGCCTCCAAAGTGCTGGGATTACAGGTGCATACCACCATGCCTGGTTCTTAGGTCCACCCTGCTGTGCTGCTTATGGTCTTCCTGCCATGATCCTGCTCACTGAGGGTGTGACCTAAATCCTCCCTGTGTCATTTTCCTATGTAAGAACAGGAAATATACCATACAGGAGTCTCTCCTTCATGTCTTTGCCGTAGAGGTTGTATTTGGTGGCGATGTAGTTGAGAATGGCTCTGGACTGCACCAGCTTCATCCCATCCATCTCCACCAGGGGTATTTGCTGGAACATCAAGAGCCCATCTGTTGGTAAAAGGAAAGTAAAAAGATGGTGGAATGTTTTTGACTCCCAGCATTTGAGTGTGAGACTATATTTGTGCCAATAAATTAAAATAAGGGGGAAATATTACTTGGCCATCTTCAGGTAAAATAGCAGTTTATTCATATAGTCCTTTATTTTCTTATTAACCTTTTTTTTGCTTTTTAACCTATTCATCTTTTATTTGGCATTTACATACACAATATCTCTTATGTTTTTCTGTGTGTTTTATTCATCATCAATCACCATGCATACTGCTATGGTTTTATCTAGGTGTCCCTCCAAATCCTCATGAGGTCATAGGTGGGGCTTTTTCAGAAGTGGCTGGATCTATAGTGTGTGTTACTGAGATTAAGGACACATGGTTACTAAATTCGTCCACTGTAGTTCCAAGTGTGGATAATGGGAAGACCCATGGTAGGTGTGAGTGCTAAACACCATAACAGTGTGTGGCCTGGATATAATATAAGGCACAGAAAGAGGGTTGCTTAAGCTTGCTACTTCACTGCTGCTACTTTCTGCCTGCTTTGCTTTGCCATTTCTTGTTCCTCCTCGTGATGCTCCTCTGCCATGTCACCTTGCCTTGGAGTCGGCTGACTACAGAGTAAAACCTCTACAGACTCTGAGCCCAATAAACTTTTCCTTCTTAACTTTGGGTGTTAGGTATTTTGTCTCAGTAATGAGGAAATTAACTAAGACAAATACTATCGGAGTGTCTGGAGGAGCTCCAAAAGTAACACTCATGATGTCATGAGACTTGTCAAAGTTTTAAAGAAAGGTTTCTATACAGTGATACCAACCTGAGTGTGGGTGGGATAGCCACCCCCAACAAGCCATAAAGGAAAACCCTCATGATAACCGCCCCTTACATGTCTCCTCCTGTTACCTACTGCATGTCTTTGTGCATGCATCAATAGGTGAAGATTGTTGGACTGCAAACTGACTATAGCTCACACAAGGGACAGAAAGAAGGAGAGAGCATTTACAGGGTTGTGGGGGTTGTTTAGTGACAAATACTGAGAGAAGTTCAGCCCTTTTTATTCCTGAGTGAGTTGGAAGAGCTCCTCAATGTGATACATCTTGTATTTTACCACTTGCTGCTTCTCCCTCATCCCCACTACCACCGCTACAATACATGAGTGTTGCATGATATCTGCTAGTATGAAAGGTACTGTGGACATCCCAGGAAGTAAGAGATGCCAGGATCATGAAACATCAGCTGCGAAAAACCGTGGGCCATGAGTTCAGCTGGCCCAAGAGAGAAGCCAGGTAGGCTCCAACTGAGAAAATCATAGGAGTGGGTCTCCCCAAGTCCTTCAAAACTTGCATTTTACCATTGAGCTTTTCAGATGCCAGAATGGAGCCACTGGACCTTATGTTCACCTTGCTGAATCTCTGTTTCAATGTGGTCCTTCTATTTTCTATGTCCCCTATTTCTCCTTTCTCAAATGGGAATGATTATTCTGTGTCATTGCAACCTTGGGATTGGCTAACTAGTGTTTGTATTTTTACAAGGTTCATAACTAAGAATTTGCCTTGAGTCTCAGAAGAGACTTGGAGTTGGACTGCAGGAACTGTTGAGACTTTGGGGAAGGAATTGTTGTGTTTCCAGTTGTATGTGGAATGGTTATATTACATTAGTATTGGAACTGCCAAACCACATTCCCCTAGAAATGAAGCCCCTTGCCTCCATACTTACCTGACCTTTCCTTCAACCCTGTTTACTGAGATATACAGAGTTGGTATAATAGCAGATGTCACCTAATTGGCCAAAAGAACGTGATGAGTCTGGCTGAGGCATCAGTGTGTTTCAGGATGGCAAAGTGGTGGCACATAGGCAAGAATTGCTTTCCAGCTGACAGCTAGATTGGAGGCTTGAGCAGGAGCCTGTGAGATTCCAGGGCTAAAACATGAGAAAACATCTCAGCTAAGACCATGGGTCTCGGAAAGTATTATACCTTCCTGGTAGTAAGGTGCCAACCTTTCAAACGTCAAATTATCTGTCGTACTACTAATTAGGGAGCCTCTGTGCCTGGGGAAGAGTACTTTTTTCTCCTTTACATGTCATGCCTGCAAAGTATTTCTTCTCATGCATTCTGCCACTACCCCAACCTGTCTCCCTGATCAGTGCCAGTAAAAGCCATGGGCACTCTGGTGCTTGGCCTTTTGCTTCAGGAGAACAATCGGTTGTCCCAGAGCCCCTTCAATTGCAGCTTTCTCTCTTTGTCTTTTTTCTTCCACGCACCACGTTGCCAGGTGGGAGACTGAACACTCTGCAGGGATTTCAGCACATTAGTTTGAATTATGACCTTGGTATTTTCTTTATTTGAAGATTAAGCATGTAGAATTGTTTGGCTGTGAAGTTGACAAAGGTGGATTGTGACCATTAATGAGGATAGGTTAACTTCATTGGATTAAGAAATGCCTAGCAGTAGAGCATGCTCCTGGGTGTGTCTGGTTGGCCATGGCATTGTGGTTTTGGGTACTGTACATGGCCTATTGCCCCCATCCCTCTCTGGCACTGTTTCTTCTTTATTCTGTCCCCTGTTGTCATGAACTAATCACCTTTGCTCCACTGTGCCCTTTACCATGACGTTTAAGCCTTGGAGTCAGTTAACCATGAGCTGAACCCTGAAAACAGGAGTCAAATTAAATCTCTCTTGGTTTAAGTTGTGAGTATCAGGTATTGTGCCTCAACAACAAGAAAGGCTAATACAATATTCAAACTTCATTTTTCAAAACTCTTACCAGAGACACTCAGACACTTGATCTTACCATTTTTTAACCTTTCCAAATCTTCTGGACATGTTATAAACTTCTCTTCAAACTAGAAGAAAATGTAAAAAAAAGTGCTTCTTAGTTAATTCCATAGTGTTAGAGTTTTTTAAATTGGAAAGGTCCCTGTAATGAATATAGAGAAATTAAAGTTTCTGAGTCTGGCACTAAGCTCATAGTTAGGTCACAATTTGGGAGAGCTGGCCCTGGAGGGCAGAGACTAGGAATTCCTTTAGTTATAAGGTTTTAGTATCTCAGCAGAACCTGTCATGTCTAGTGGGATCAAATAGAACCATTGTGTTCCTACCATGGTGTATATTGTAGGCCAATGTCAATCTAATATTTTGTCACCACTACAACAGTGTAGTGATGGAGACCACTACAAGGAATACCTGAACAGGACTTAATCAACTGGCTTTTCATGTTCACTTGTGAATCTGTCCAAGGCCTAGGCTCCTTGTCTGGAAATGGCAGACTCATAGTAAGTGGACCTCTGTGAATCAGTAATCCGTACCAAAACCTGTGGTGGTGATGAAGTCAGAAAACCTCAGAGGATAAGACAAGATCATAGCCAAGGACACCTGTATCAGATCTCAACTAGATAAACACTATAGCTTCAGACATCTCACTCCTGGTTGGATTAAATTAATGCCTTTCTTGGAGAAGTCCTTGAGTGATTTTGCCCTTCTTGCATACTTCCCTCTTTTCTTCTGATAACCAAATAAATACAGACCACCCAGACAAGATCTTGGTCTTAGCCCTGAGAGAATCTAGAATTCTATGAGAGGGCTTTGATCCTCCTGGAGCCCTGAAATCACTCCATTTGTCTCTTTTTATTTAGCCTTCACCATCCACTTGTTTGGGGGACTGTGGACCTGACCAGCCCACAATAACTAAGGGATATTTTTAACCTGATAACTTACATCACTGCTCTCCTTTTCATAGTTTAAGAAGAGTTTGTAATTATGGACAAGTAGGTAAATGTCTTTCTAGTTTGCTTTTTAGGATAGTGTTTGTGGTTGATTTCCATAATCTGACAGGGTAGGCTGTAGAGGTGATGAAAAGTATATGCCACCAATTTGCACAGCATCCACAGAACCATTAGGGATGTGGTTGTTCGCCACAGGAGAGTGCCCAACATGGAGTGGGGATGATGAGGCTGATGGCCATGGATGAGCCTGTAATTATGTCTTTGGACACTGAGAACTCAGAAGGTCTGAGCAAGAGTCTTCAGGCACTCCTCAGTTATGGTTGGATGGAGAAGTAGAAGCCCTCCTTGCTGAGGACATTGAGCCTACTTCACCTCTTGTGCTGAGCTCATCCTCTCTGGAGGCTTGGAATGTATCTCAGAACCTCCATCTGGGGATGGACCTTGGTGAAACCAGATCATTCATTTACAGAAAGAACAAAGACTGGCCTGGCACTACCACATCATTTGTCCACATTTATCTTCATGAAATTAAGAAAGGATCAGGCCAAGGAGCCATAGATTTATGAAGAACTGAGAAAGACTGCTCCCCAGGCTTAAGTAAACACATTGCTATGAGCTCATTGAGTGCATTAGAAGTTCCCTTCATGGGCCATGACCTCACAGATAAGGATTGTACATAGATGTCCCCAAAAGTCTCAAATGCTCATAGGTGGGCTTCTGGAAGGTGATTGGGTCATGAACGTGTGACACTCACAGAGTGTTTGCCCACTGATGAGTGTATAGCTCAGTGTGATGCTGGGAGGTGAAGCCTGGTTGGAGGAGGTGGGTCATTGGGGTTTTGGCTTGGAGGGTAGATTCCCCCTGCCCTCTCACCACCATGCTGCGAGCTAGTCTTCCTCTGTGATGCCCCTCTGTCATTTCACCCTGCCTTGGAGTCTGCAATCTATGGACAAAAACCTCTGTGAACTGTGAGCCACAATAGACCTTTCTTCCTTTAGTTTATGGGTGTCGGTTATTGGTCCCAGTGATAGGGAAGTAACTAAGACAGCGTTTGACCTTTCTTTGCTGCTGTCACTTGAGGGACAGCATCCATGCAGTGTCCATAAGCTCCTCTCCAAGAAACCCCTCACTTAGTTGCCAGGAACCCAACTTCTTATCTCTCCTGAGAAGAGTTTCTACCAGTAATGCCTCAGAGGGAAGAGACCATAAGTCCTCTCAGCATTTCCTTCCTTTCAAAAGCTACAGGAATGTCCTTTCATGGACAATGCTCCCTTCCATTACCCTACTGAAATCTCCTGTTTACTTGTCTCCACCCTAAGAGGGCACCCAGCCTGCCAAAGGGCAGTACCTGGTCTCTCTTGTTCACCTTGAATCCTGAGGACCTAGCAGAACCTGGCATCTAATAGATTCTCCACAAAATACTTGTTGAATAAAAATGTATTCTCTCTCTAACAGGAAGTTTGTTACTGTCCACTCCTTCCATCCTTTCAGACTTGTTTTTAAAAATACACATAGCACACAATTCTTCCCTCTAGCAGTGACCAAGAAAGTCCAGTAATTACCAGATGAAGTTAATCTAGATTTGTCTCTACTGCTCTCATCTCTCCTATTCTGGTCCTACTGTTCAGCCAGACCTAGGTTTCGTATGACCTCATTAGAAATACTTTGGGTGTGTCTGTCTCTAAAACATGTCCTCTTCTGTTTTGTTTTGTTTTTGGTGCTGGGAATTGAACCCAGAGCTTTGTGCATGTAATGCAAATCACTACCACTGAATCATATCCCTACCCCCAAACATAACTGTTTTTTATTGTATTTTATTTTATTTTTGTCTTTTTGAAACAGGGTCTCACTATGTAGTCCAGGCTGGCCTGGAACTCACTTTGTAGCCCAGGTTGGCCTCAGACAAGCAGCATTCCTCTTGCCTCAGCTTCCTGAGTGCTAGGATTACAGGCATGCCCCACCATGCCTGGCAGTGGCTGTTTTTAAAGTAACAAAAATATAACACCTAAAAGCATGCTAAAAATGAACTATAATTCTTTAATATCACCTAATATTTAACCAATATTCAAGTTTCTAATTGTTGTATAAACGTCCTAAATTATGTAATTCATTTAATTCCAAATGAATTCTACACATTGGAACTATTAGAGATTTCTTCTGAATCTTTAAAATATATTTGTTTATGCACTTTTTACTAGAAAGAGAATTATATTTTTTGGCTAAGTTGGTTTATTTTTCTAATAAATAAGGGTGTTTTTATTTATGACAAAGTTTTTCACAGGTTCTTGAGGGAGGAAATCTACCTCTACTCCAGCTGCAGCCAAGAGCCACCGGATGGACTCCATCCTGCTCCGTCCATTGAAGTCGTGAAGAACTGGCTTCCCCGCCATATTAGTAGTCTCTTGGTTTCACTGAAAGTGAGTGAGTGAATGAATTAATTCATAGAACAAAAAGTACTTTAGGATTATAGTTAGTGATCCAACAATACAAAGGAGTGTCTGCCTCTTCCTGGAAGGGTTAGAGAAGTCTCAGAAACTTCCTTGGACCAAATTCTCACTCGCCTGGTCTACTGTCCTGAAATGGCACCACACCTCTCTCACAGTACTCTTTTCCTTCACTTTGAGGATGTAAACACACAGCACAGGCACCTTCCTGTGACAGGACCTGGTTGCCTGGAAGGAACCTTGAAAACAGAGGACTGTCTGAGACGGAGTCAATGGTAGGGGCAAAGTCCTTCTCCAGCTCTTTGGCTCCAAGGCTGCATTTGTTCTTAAGTATACAGTGGGGCTTGGTCCTCCCTGACCATAGCCACAGCCTGTAGTCTCCCCAGTGCAGAATTTTTTCTTTTTCTACTGGAATTCTATTTTTCCACTGCTGATTTGAAGTTTACTTTACACTCTAGAAAACTCCATGTAATTGCTACATTAACTTGTAAGGAAAGTAACCTGAGATATAAGGACTGCAACTAGCCTGCTATGTAACAGGCAGCTTCTCATTTTTCATCCTCGTTTAGTCATAAAAATTGTTTGATGTAGAAGCTTTGCTGTTCTAAAGTTACCTGAGGATATTGATACTACACTGGTTCCACGATATGGGAATCTGACATTCAAGTACACACCTCTTTGTCCCTAAAGTCCTGGAGCTTCTCTGTAACAGCATTTTCCAAACCCTGTGTTGTGTCTTACGAGTGGGTTGTAAAATGAACAACTTAGATTCTGAGTAGCATCTTTAAGTTCCAAGGTCATAGGAATTTTCAGAGCCATCTGTGGTAAAGGCAAATACTTCTTAGTGAATCTTTAATTTTAGTTCCATTGATGTGACTACGCCTGTGTGTCTGCATGTGCTCTGGGTTGTTGTAAAAGGTAAGAAATACACATGACTGGGATGGGCCAAAGAAGTCTGACAGCTCGGTGTTGCTTTATTCTGAGGCTTTGTGCATTATGAATATTTTGGGCTGGGCAATTCTTTGTTATCAGGGTTGTCCTGTGCCCTGGGGTGTGTTCACAAAGCTATATCCAGCAGCCTGGTGTATTCTTCTCCACCCCCACTCATGACAATCAAAAGGAACTCTTTGCCAAATATTCTCAGGACGTAGCATCCCCAGTGGCTGAGCACCACAGTTCTGTTACAAGCTGCCTGGGGGAAGAGCACATAGCAGGGAGCCAGGAAGAGCGGCTCACATAGCAGGGTGGCCTGGCAGGATCTGCAGGGAGGTGGGGCATATTGGCTCAGGGCTGCATACCAAAGCACAGGGTTCAGTAAATGCAAGAATTCAATTACCTAATGACTTCCTTTTTATTTCCTTATTTGCTGATTTTTTATTAGTAGTACGTGCTTGCCATACATAATGGTTATATTCATCAAGGGCAGGTAGTACATGTATATAACACATCTCAGTTCTGTTTGCAAGACTTCAATTACCAAATTACTTCCCAACCAACAATTACTGAGCAGTTTCCCTGTGTCAAGCAATGGCTAGGGTTGGTAGGGAGCCAGATACCAGCCTGACTTTGTCCCTGCCCTAAAGAGACCAAGCAAAGGCTCACAAACACCGACAGAGCAGAAAGTGTTCTATCATTGCTGCACTTGATCAGTTTGTGAGAACTCAACACAAATAATGTCATTGTCTATGCAAGTCTGGGCAATGGGAGAAGGTGGCCCGGTTGAGAATCAAGGACTTGTCCTTACCCCATCGGGCCTCTATCATCACCCAGCTGCAGGTGTTTGTGTATCTTTCACATGTGTCCTTTTTTACGCTTACATTAGGGTTGCTCCCCAAGGATATCTAAAGAAGCTCTTTGCAGCATATCATGGAGTGCACATTCTCCACATTCTCTCACATTTCAGTATTTTCACTCACAGTTATTACTTTTTTTTTTTCACAGGGCTTCTTATATTCTGAGGCTTTCCTATATAAATATATTCTTTGTATATTGACAGTGATTCTAGGGCATTATTGACTCTTATTATGTTATGTCCTACTTGGTTACTTTGATAACATGTATTTATTCTATATTCCACTGATGTATCTAGTTATTCTGTCAGGACTGCCCAAGATGTACAGAGGACCTGAGGGATCATCTAGTTCTTCCTCCAAATGTTGGAGGAATGGTTGGAGTGTTGTGATTGCCAACTAGACCATTCGTGACCAAGTTTAGATTCAAACCCAGTTCTTGTGATGGTCATATGTGTTTCTTCCTGTTAGTTCTTGTTACTGAATTTGCACAGCCTACAAAAACTACAGTTGTTTTCAGTGTTGTTGTCACTACTGTTGTTGTTTGTTTTTCTTGTTTTTAAATTTTGTCCTTCCCTGAAGACACTCACTTGATTGTTAGCTCCAGGAAGCAGAGAAGTTGTCCTAATTTGTTACTGTGGTATATTTTGCAGCATTCATTTCACAGTCTGTGTATCTGACAGCATCATAGCTCAAGAGTCACAGATTATTTTTCCATTTCCTTTATAGGACTCAGCATTTAAATGTAGTAATCATAGAGAAATTAAATGATAAGGTAGGACTATGGTAATAAATTAACAAATCATGATGATAATTTTGATAATCCTCATAATTCTGTTTACAGAATTATAAAGGCAATGAAAGTCACCTACATAAAAGGAACAAATTGTATAAAAAACTGGTTAAATGTGATGGCAAATTAGCCCAAGAGAATATTCAACTTGGCAAATCAAAGGAATTAGCATATGTTCTGTTAAACTGAGAACATGATAATTGAAAAGAATGGCATTGTTGTTCTTAAATTTCCCTAAGAGTTAAGTCCAGTTCCACCAGTTACTATCCTAAAGTCCTGTGCATTTATATGCACTTGCATTTTGAGATTTTAAACACTGCCCACCCTACGGTCTCAGTACCACTGAAAGAAGAGGGAAGGGAAGAAGAGGGAGAAAGATAAAGAGAAGGAGAAAGAGAAGCAAAAACAAGAACAACAGTAGATAGAGAAGAGGAAGAGAAAAGGAAGGAAGGAAGGAGAAGGGGGTAGAAAAATGTCCTGCTACTTGGCAAGTGACAAAAGAGCTCACATGAACATTAACATCCGTATAGAATGTAAATTTGGATTGAGATTGGCAGGCACAGAGGATTGGTTTCCAAGCTGGACATTTGGCTTTAAAGGCACAAGAAGCATATACCCATCCAGATCAATGTTCGTTGCTAAAGTGATTTTCCAAACATGTGACCTTCCCCCCACCAAAACCCAGTATTTTTGTGGATGGGCCCCTGTAGAAATCACACGAATGCCATCTCTTCATTGTCCAGTACAACTTTAGTGTGCACTCCTATGCACCTCCAGGCACGCCTATGGTTGTATTCTTGGATTGCTGAGATTGACATCACTCTTACTTTTCTCATGTCATCAACCACTTTGCCCTCATTTTCTAAATTACTGATTATTTTCTTTGTTAAAGAACTAAGGAACAAGGCTTGATTTGTACCCTGAGCACACAAGGCGGAAGAGCATGAAACACTCACACCAAGTACCACAGAGGGAAGCAGACATGAGAACATTTATGGAGATTTAAAAGGCAACACTAACCTCAGCAACGTCCTGGCTGCCCCTTCATTCAGCACAGCAAGACTGGCTTGGTGTGGGTATAGAAGCTGCTTTGTGAGAACTCTTGCTCTAGAAAAAGGCTGAGTCCAATAGAGATCAGCCACTCCCACAGCTGAAGCTTTCAGAATCCGGGCAAGATTAAACAGAAATGACAAATCCCTAATGTTGCATTTCAGCCCTGTTAATAAATAAAAGGGGTTTGAATTTCATTCAGTTGCCCCAGAAGTCACTTGAACTCTGCTACCAGAGGATTTCAAGATTTGCAAGATCATGGCATATGAAAAAACCTGGTGGTGATTGGAAGAGAGGGCCAGGGGAGAGTGATTTCAGGAAATGATTCTGATGGAGAAAATTGTGAGATCATCATCTGCAAGTGCCGAAAGGGTGAAAATATGCATAACTGCATAACTGCATAAGCACAAGCGATCTGGCTGAGTGGTCACAACCCTGGCTGGGAAGATCTCGGCTGCGTTACTGAGGGTGTTTGTCGACCTTCCCTTCTGTTATGGTTTATGTCTGTGTGTCCCCCCAATGCCTCATGTGGACTTGGGGCAGGCTATTAGAGTTGAATGATTGTGAGTGTGAGAGCTGCACCCGCCCTGGGGTGGATAGTTTGCATATGTAAGGGAGAGGAAGAAGCTGCTTGGGGGCATTCCTCCCCCATTCCGCCCTGGTGTACGCTGGCAGTTTAGCTGTGTGCTGTCGCCCTGAGATGCAGCTCTCTGCAATGTGCCACTCTGCTTTATAATCCTGCCAAGTACGGATTAAAACTTCCACGAACTGTAAGG